ACCTGATGTTCTTTCATATTTTTGGTTATCCTCAACCTAAACCCTATAAGCACTGAACCCAGAATTTTCCTGTGTTCAGAACCATGCATCTTAGCAGTGTGCTTTGAGCGTGATGACCAGCCCCACACAAGGCAAAACGCAAATGCTTCTCTTGCTTCGATTGAAGACGGCGTACTTGCAGAAATTGCCTTGGCTTCTGGCTGGACTGGCGCACCCAAACGAGGCCACTGCGAAAGAAATTGGTTCCAAAATCATTGAGCAATGGCAGCAGGACCCCAGGCCTGAAGCGCATCATCGAATCACTGTGGACTGCTTGACACGCCCGATGTTTATGAATGCCTTGACCTCCTGGGTTGAGGGTGCATGCTTCAGCGATCTTCCAAGCGCTTTTCAGGAACAGGTGGCAGGGTGGAGATTCGTTCCTGTGGTAGAGACAACCATAGAAGAGAAGCATGCACGGGTTTCTTTGGCGAAGAAGCGTCACCATCTTGGCCCTGTGAGGGTGTCCTTAGCTAACAGGCTCCCGCTTTTCGAGCGGTGGCTGCAGCGAGGTCATGTTTTGGCGGCTGACTTCTTGAGGTTTTTTACGCAGGCCCGCAGATTGAGGGCCATTCCTTCCCTCTTGAGCATCGAGGACCACCCGTCGTTCGATGGCGATGTGCTTGCAAGGAAGATATCGCAGCTTCACACTTTAATTAAAAGGTGCTGTACCGATGCTCTTTGAAAGACATGTACCAGTCGTTTGCAAGTGTTAGCAAAGAGCACGAGCGTGCCAAGCGTGGAGCTGCGAAGATGCAAGCGCAGTTGGTGGACAGCGGAGCCAGGCAAGCACTGAGTCTGGAGCGTGTGCTGCGTGTCTCCATGATGCAGCACCTCGTCAAGCTGCACAACGACGACGAGCGGACAGTGTTTTACTCCTGCTCACAAAGCTGCCTGGCTTTGCAATCGGTTGAGTCCGCCTTGAACGAACCGCTTACCAAGAGACAGCGGACGGATCCTGACGCAGCCGCAGAAGCGGAGTACGACGTGCCCATGGATCTGGACATTGATGCTCTTGATGCCGCCCCGGAGCAGCAGGAGCAGCAGACAGTGACGTTTCAGATCGTTCTGAAAAACCCTTCTGATAAGAAAACCATTCGACCGGCAGTGGGAGCTGGCGGAAGATTGAGCAAGGGCGTCGTTTTGTGTCTGCACAAAGAGCTGAGCCAGGGTGCTCTGCTTGAAGACTCGGCCGTTGTCAGTGGCAATCCGACCGCAACAGAGGACATCAGTGGCCAATTTCTCTTGAGCAGCTTTGTAGGCAATGTGGAGGAGTTGCAAACGAGTGTGCGAAAATGGCAGTCGGCAAGTCTTTTGTGGAGCTTCCAAGCCACAGCCTTGCAGCAAGGCGACCACGCGCAATACCATGAGCTCTTGGATGGTATCATAGCGGCTGGTGCCTTTGAGAACAATGAACACAGCTTGGGCTTCACCGCCAGGCAACAGCAACTGCCTTTGCTTCAAGAACTCCAACGGCTGGGCCTGGCTTCGAGCGCTGGGCGTGAAGACATCCGCTGGCGTTTGACAGAGAGCGGCGTCAGAAATCTGACTACGTTCGCAAGACTGCAGGATCCTGTGAGGCTCTTTCAGCCTCGGGAGCTCCCGAAGCTAGAAGATTGCACGCAGTATGAGCTTATACTGGCCATGCAAGAACAGGGGTGGGAGTGGCAGCTGTGGGTGCCGCCTTCACGCAGGACTCGCAGAATGGCTGTTGCTGGTCGTACTTTCGAGGAGTACAAGCCTGGAAACCCGAAGGTGTGGTATTCGAATGAAAGCCCATCGCAGTCCTATCTTCTTGTTCTCTTGCAAGCAGAGCGACTTGTGGCAGCTGGGCTCCCTGCCGTTGCTCACGACCGTGACGACAAAGCTTACAAGGCGATCCTTCGAGGACGCCTGTTGCGTTTGCTGGTCATTGCAGGATTCATTGTTCTCGCCTGACTGCAGCGAAGAGTTACTGGGTTTAGGCTTCGCAGGCTATGGTTGAGAGTAAGTGTGGAATCCCATTATACCTTTACTCATTCTCCGGACTCTCCAAAGTAGCTCTTCCTTTGATTCTTCAGTTTCTCCTTATAGGCTTACATACTCACCAAGACAAGTGCAGGGTCGCCACATGAACGAATTATGCTGGACAGTATAGACACTGTGCGTTGACAAAGTGCGCATTTTTAAAAGAGTGGGCCAGGAGATTTCACCGAGGAGCTTGCGAGACGAGCAGATATACCAGCGGAGGTTGATGCACTCGAAGACTTGGGGGATGATGGTTATGGTGTGGGCGCAGTGCCACGCTTGGATGATGATCCATCTGAGCCAGTGGCATTGCGGGCTGAGAATGAGCCCCCTGATGAAGCGGCAATTTCAGATGACGAGCTTATTGCTGAGCTGGAGAAGCTCTTGGAAGATCAAGACCAAGAGAATTTTCAAGACGTAGATGCCGAGGTCAATGGAGACGAAGCTGAACACGTGGTGGTGAGAAATCCGGAGGAGGGTGGGCTGCCTCGTGACGGCCCTGCAGCCCCTGCGTTTCCAGAGGCAGCTCCAGCAGCGGCTCGCGCTGCGCCGGCCAGAGGACCTCGAGCAGCAGTCCCGCCAGTGGAGGGGCCGGAACTTGAACGTGGTTTTTTTGGGGTATTCAAGATCACGAGAAAGAGTCAAGGCTTCGGAGGCTACCAAGCAAATTGCCCTTTCCACAGAAAGAATGATAAAACGGGATGCAAGCGGTTTTTGTCTGTGCCAGAGAATACGGAGGAGTCTCGACACTTGACACTTCGCAGGCTCATGCACTGGTGCACTCTCTGCGCAGAACATGATCGACAGCGCTCTCACATGGCAGTCCCGCTTCCACCGGAAACGTGTCCGTCATGGGAAGTTCTCAGAGCAAAGCGAGATCTGATCCAGAGACCTGACCCTGACACTGTCAGGACCGACGAGCAACTGGATGCCGATGCACGAAGGGCTGCTGCTGCGCCGAAAGCAAGGTCCAACCGTGGAGCTGCAAAGGCCAAACCGACACCAAAAGCCAAAGGGATAGCGAAGACGAAGGCGAAGGCAAAGCCAAAGGCTGCAGCTGCTGCAGTTGTTGCCAATAGTGACGATGAAGGCGACGATGTTGCGGCCAGTGATCCACCGTCCTCAGCAGACGNNTAGTCGTAGTCCTGCTTGCCTCACAGTCGAAGACTATAAGGCCTCGTCCTCGTACTCTGCACGTCACATTGCGAGTGCAGTCACAAAGTGGTCCTTGAGATTTGTGTGCTGTGGGTCTTAGCTTGCAGTTGCACTTTGTGGGCAGCATCGCAAAGAGTGGCTCCAGCTTGAGGCTTCATTTGCTACTCAGCAGGGGATCCTTTCAAGTGTAGTCAGTATGCTTTCCGCGCAGGGAGAAGTGGGAGAAGTTGACTGCAGGGTGTGCGAGAGTACGGAGAGAGGCGAGAGAATATTATGAAGTGCGTTACAATCATATCATTACATTACAGCTAGAATGTAATTAGTGTAAGACTTCTCCAGCAAACAATTTGAGATTTTGAGAAATTGTTTGCAATCCAGAAATATCTGTAAACAAATACCGAAATCCTGACGAAATAGCGAGGGAAGCGGTTCCTGCGTCCAGAAAATGCCAGAAAATGTAGAAGTGCTCCGTTGTGCGACAAAAGCATCCGAATAGAGGTAAAAATGATCCAGAAATGCGTGATTCTGCTCCGAAATAAGCTTTTGAGCAACAAATTCAGCGGATAGCTTCAGAATGGCCTGCATCCAAAATTTTCGGCTCTCCTAAAGGGCCGTGTGGAGGGTTTGGTTTTCGTTGTTTGGAAGTGTATGTCCCGACCCAACAAGCGTATGAGCGATTGGGAATGCCTATGAGCGACTGGCAAGTGCTTACCAGCGATCTGGGTGGCTTACCAGCGATCTGGGTAGCTTTATGAGCGATCTGGGGGTGCCCTGGGGGGTTTATGAGCGATCTGCTACGAGCGAGCTGTGTGTCCTTATGAGCGAGCTGTGTGGCCTTATGAGCGATCTGATGGGCTTATGAGCGATCTGGCTGGCACCATCAGCGCCCGAATATCTAGATATCTTCAAACTGAAGCTTTTCTTTTTTGGGGTGGTGGATATTGCTAATTTCCACCATTTCACATTATTTTCGTATTGTTTTACATTGTTTTCAGTTGAAAAGCATTGAAATGCATTGTTTCCATGGGACCCATGGGAGCCAGGCAGCCAGATGCCCATGATTGACGGCAAGCTATGTTCCAAGGGTGTTTTTGCATTTTCGCAAGAATATTTCCAAAAATTACAGGCTTCGCCTATGGCCACTCACCAATATCAGTTTTTTTCAATGAGTTGGGGACGAATGGGTGGGCGTGTGTCTTTTTACACACCCGTTGCTGTGTCAGTGTCAGGTAAATATGTGTTTGATGTTGTTGAAAGCAAGCGTTTGGATTTCCACAGAAGGATCGTGTCGGAGTTTGAGCCGAGACGGTGGGCCGGGAGCCCGGGAAAGTGAAAAAAACAACATGAGTTTCGGTCTTGACCCTTTGCAAAAAGACTTTGATCGGGACAGGTACTTCTTTGCATTTGCAGTGTACCGACGGACTCATAAACAGGTGTGGGCGAAATGCTACGACAAACAATGGCCCTGCCAACAGGAGCTTGTGGATTTCCATGTTGTGGTGGGGCCATTTGTCCTCGGGGTCTGGAGGTGTCACTGAATAATGATTATGTTGTGGTGCGTGGCCGCGGCATGGCTGGCTCCAATGGCAGGGCCCTCCGAGTCGCTGTCGTTGGTCTAGACACGGGGGGCGGTGGTGGGGGTGGGGGGGGTTCCCACTTCTCTCAGTCGCCTGCTCATCGAAGCTCTTTTTTTTGAAACCAGAAGAAGAAGACATGAAGAAGATCGCCGTGAGCTTGGTCAGAGCTGAGGACTTCGTTTGCCATGTGATGCAGTTCTGTCATGTTTTCAGAAGCAGCGTGCAATGGTCGAGACACTCAAGCTGCCGTGGAGTTGTAAATCGTGGCATGAACAGCTGTTGTAGAGTCTATTGTAGAGATTGAGTGAGCGTTCTTGTAGCAAGCATCGTGCCTTGGTCTTGCGTTCCGGTAGGACTACCAGGCTACTCGTGTGTTGCACCATGGCAGACGTAGATGACAGTGCGCTGACTTCAGTCAGTCCTTCGAAGAAGCGTCGGCAAGGAGATGTGCCCTGGTACCCACCAGGCCCTCAGACTTTGGGAGAGACCCTCTCCCACAACTTGAAGTATCTTGCAGAGATGACAACGACTGTGCCGAACATGGGCCAGGACACTGGCCAAGCTCTTGAGGCTCTGAGCGGTGTGCAAATCGTTTTGACAAGCTCGTACTCCGGAACAGGCTGCTTTGAGGGAGTTTTTCATGAAATCATGAAGCAGTTGAAGCAGACGTTTCCTGCCTCGAGTGGTGGTGTGACAAGCCATGCGGCCACAGAGATTAACTCTGCGGCGCAGATGTGTCTCTCATCTCACAAGTCGTGCATCCACCATGTCTTCGGCGACATTCTTGGTAGGGTTCCTCGAGGCTTCCAGAAAACTTTGAAGGACATCGAAAGCAGGTGCCTTGCTGATTTCAAGTTTCTGCAGACGGAGCTGAAGTTGGGTCAGCTCACCAAGCCGGAGTTTGGGGTTGCAAAGCGAAAGCTGGAGCAAGGGTATGTGTCCAAGCTGAAGTCGGAGTTGAGCCAGATAGAGTTCAACGATACAGATTTTTGTCTTGTTCACCAGAAGCAGTGCCACATCTCTCCACGGCATGACCCGCGCTTCTCACAAGCGTATTGGATCGAGGCTTCTGGGAACACATGCTGTCCTTGGAGTCGTATGGGGGGACAGAACGGGTGGCTGGACGCTGCCACTTTGCCCTTCCTTGTATGGTGTTATTCCACTCGGTTCTTCGAGCCTGATTCGATTTTGCAGGAGAACGTGGCGTGCTTTCCGGAGGAGGAGATGTTCTCCATCTTCCGGGAGAGCGGCGCCCATGTGTTGAAGCACCTCGAGGCTCGTCCTTTGCATCCACTTGAGTCCACTGCGGAGTGCCAGCGACAGTATATGATGCAATCAAAAGTGTTTTCGCCGGCCAACCTTGGCATCCCGTGCAATCGTTTGCGAAAGTACACTGCAATGCATCTTAGTCCTTGGGTCAAGTGCCGATTCGGGATTTCGTTTGAGAACCTCTTCTTTCGAGAGCTACGTGCAGATGCAAGCATCTATCTAGATGGTGTGCCTGTAGCTGAGCGCAACAAAGAGGTTTTGGACAGGCTCCGTGCCCTCGGCAGGGAGGCAGCAGCAGGTCGCATCGATTCTGATTCCCATGCCCTGAGCGCCGGGGATTCTGCTCGCCTAGAGTCTTGGGTCCACTTTGCCGGCAAGCAAGGCTTGCTGGACGAAACAGGCTGCTGGCGGCCAAAGTTTGCTTTGGCTGATGTGACACAGAATGCACAGTTTCGGCAAAGGCTGTGCGTGGAAGCAGCAATGCCGTGCTTGCTGACGCACACACTGTTGTTTGATCTTGTTTCAGGGCGACTGGTCACTGCCTGCTCACACTGGCTGGCACAGGGCTTTCCTCACCCTGCTGCCAGGGGCGTGCAACAGCAGCTGAAAGCTGCTTTTCCTTTTGATGAAACCCTCCTTGATGGTACCAGTAGTGAAGGCTTGTCGTACTCAAGCCAACGTATTCTCGCAGGGAATGCAATGCACTGGAATGCCATTGGATCCTGGTTGTTGTACAATCTCAGCTGTATAGATATCTCGGCCATCGGAAGCGGTAGGCCCACCACTCGTCGTTAGGAAGGCTTGCTGAGACCCCAA